AGAAAACTGGTGTGATAAAGAAGAATTATGTTCTTTTCCTTTTCTTTCTCAGTCAGTCTTGTCTGACTCCCAGTACATGACAGCTCCCCCCAAATCATGATGCACTCAACGAAGGAGTCCCATTCAGAATAAGGGGAGTGATTATTATAGAAAACAACTATAGCATGCTTGCATGAACATAGTTCTAAGCACTTCGTATATACCATCCTTCATCTTTACAATAGATGCATGAGTTAATGAGCTCTAATTACGTGACTGCTGGATAGTCCACCAAGTACTTCACAGAGATGTTTTGGTATTTTTTTTGAGGTACTGGGGATCGAACTCAGGATCTTGCGCTTACCAGACAGGCACTTGTGCCACTGAGCTATCTGGTCCTGCAGTAGGCCCGGTGGGCCTCCCACCAAGAACCTTCGCACGCCGCGGGGAGGCACTCCTTGTTCCCATTCTCAGCTTTACTCTCTTTGAGTATTGTTCGGCATCTGGCTTAAGTGGATTTTACTGGGACACAGACGAGTACGCAGCAGAGCCTTGCACGCAGCAAGGCTGACCAGGGCTGACCTCAGCGTGGTGTTCTGGGGAGAAGGAGGAAGCGCGATGGCCAGACGCGGAGTTCACCTTCAGGGAAACCTCGCAGGCCCGGGAGCTCGGCGCGGCCCTTGAGGAACGCTGTCAGCAGAGCGACGCGCTGGCTGGGCTGAGGGCGGACCGCCCGGCTGGGACCCGCGGGCCAGGCGTGCGAGCCCCTCGTCCTTCGGCCTTCCCGGAGCGCGAGTGCGGACGGCAGGGATTGCTGTCTACTTTATAGCCACAGCAGGCAGAGCAGCATTTGGTACGAAGTTCTCACAGATATTTGTTGAGCAGGTGAATACAAACCCATGAATAAATTTCTAGTTTCCCTGGGAGGAGTTAACTTAATGAAATTACCTTCTTTTCGCCCTAATTCTAGAACAGTAGGAAAGTTTGCATTTCACACTAGTGTAGCTAAAGCTTCTAATTACTAGAAATTTTCAGTTTTTATAGCAGGGAGGACAACACGGCAATTCTATGTATTTATTTATCACGTATTTCGTACAGGGCCTACAGGGTCTCACTATGTAGATCAGACTCCTGGAGTCTCCTCTTTCCAGCCGCGCACGTGCAGGATGACAGGCCCGCGCCCCCTCGCCCAGCCTCGCTCGCTGCTCGGCACACCCGGGATCGAACCTCCGTGCCTGAGTCTGTCTAAGCAGGGGCTGAGCTACCTGGCCGGCCCACATTCTCTTCATTTAACTGACAGCATCCTGAAGCCTGAAGAGCTGCGCCCTCATGAAGCAAGAGACACAGTCCCACGCCACACAGCTGAGTGTGTCGTCCTGCTCTCACCGAGGAGCTGCAGGACGCTGGCGCCGCGGTGAAGCAGCACAGCGGCTCCTCCTTGGCACGCCGCTCGCTCTTGGTGTCCGGCTTGCATCGCGGATTATCAGCTCGACCTCTAAGGCCTAGATAACTTAATTTCCAGGGTTTCTGCAACTGGCCAGTTTTCTTTTAAGCTTGGACATGGGACAGCCAGCTTAGCTGCAATTTTCTCAGAGGCTCTGTTGAGCCAACCGTAATTCATCATGTCTGGAAAGTCCAGAGACCGAATATGAACTGTCAAGGAGAGATATGCGGCCTTACACGCTGTCAGAGAGCAAGCATGAATTAGAATTTAAATCGGTAATTCCTTAGATCTCAGCGCGTTCGCTAGGAGAATTCTTAAATCTCAGTCTTTAGGGAATATGGAAGTTGTGACAGCTCTAGGACTGACAGTAAGGAGGATATTTGGAGGGTTTTATTTTTAGTGTGGATAAAATGAAGGTGAGAAAATAATCAGATGTGTTACAGTGGTGCTGGAGAAGTCGTCCGTGAGAGCTCACTCAGGCAGGCTCTTGCGTCTCCACAGCTAAGAGAGATAGAAGAAGAATAGGAACCCAGAAAGCTTTAGCCTCAGTAGCAAGACACACAACAGCGTGGCTGGGCCATCGGCATTCCGAAACCTCGTATTTGCCGTGCTAAGCTCGTCGTTCTCACCACTGTCCTCCCCTGACGTAGCCCTCGCTGATGCGACCTCGTTCTCTAGAGCGCAGCCGAATCCCACGAAGGCCTGATTGCAGCAGGGTGCGGAGTCCTGCGCCAGAGCCTTAGAAGGCTGCAATGGCTGGAATGTGGTTTGCTGCCTCTGGAACTGACTTTGAAATTCAGTGTCCCAATGAGCTATTAGGAGGAGTGGCCGTGTCGGAGCTTTAGGAGGTTCACTGGGTTAACTGAGAGTGAGTTTGCTGGAAAAGCCAGCTAGCCTAAGTGTCTCCGCACTCTCTGGGGATGCGATGCTCTGCGCTGTCCAGGACTCTGCCAGCCGCAAGGCTCTCACAAGGTGCAGGCCCTTCACCTTGAACCTTAACTACGGCCGAAGTAAATCTCCGCCTTTATAGCTTACCCGTACCGTGCTGTTAGCAGTGGAGAGTGCTCTAAGGTGTAGATCCAGAACAAGACCCTCTCAGGTGTTTCCCGTGCTTAGGTGTGGGGCCCACACATTGTGGACCTCAGCTCTGGCGGGATTTTTCCATTTAAGAGAACGCTCCACGCTGTCGTGTGCTGTGCACCTGCCGGCACGCTGGTCTCCAGTCCTGGAGAGAGCAGAAGACGCCCAAGCCCTCACCCTGCCCTTGGCTGCCCTCACCACTGCATGGCCAACCTTCCCTCAGTGTTAGGGCATCTCTTCTCTGAAAGCCTGCCCCAACAGGTGTGCACCTTCTCACTGTGCTCCTCTAAGGCCAC